TTTATATCTAAGTTTAAATCATAACACCTCATATGACAACGTGGTTAGTGTTTTCTTTGTATATATTTGATCCAGGTTCGAATCCCACACTTTACATATATTTTTCTCAATTTTAGTTTAACGAGTCAATTTCGAGCCGTCAAACACGAACACGAATATTTAAATCGAGCCGAACACGAACAAATTGTTCACGAGCCGATTTCGAACACGAGCCGATTTCGAACACGAGCTATTTCGAACGAGCCGAACACGAGCCTAGCCTGAGTCTACAGCCCTACATAAGAGTATTCCCTATTCAGAAATATGGTGCATCTCTGCAAGAATTTAGAACAAAGTGCAGCAAACCCTAAAAGATGATATTTTGAGCAAACTGAAGATTCAATGTGTTTAAATATAAATAAGAATTTCAATCTGATGCACAAATGCATTTTCACCAAAGCTGCAAGAGAAGTAAAGTGAAACTATGGTGTTTCAAAGAGTAGCTGATTAATGCCCAGAAGAAGAGAATCAATGAGAGCAAACATACCTGGAATGGGCGATGATCGAAGCTATTTGTCAGCAGATCTTTCCTCCAATTCTGAAATATCTTTAACATCAACAAATTCTTCCTCAGGAATCAAACACCAGTTTGGAGATTGCACGGCGCGGAGCCACAGAAAATCATCCACATTAGCCCAATTCCTTGTTTCTTCATCAAGCCCAGAATTGCGGAGCTCCTCATCAATTCCTTCGTAGAGCAGCCTGTAAGGCGCAAATCTAACGCCGTTGCAATCCTCTATAATCGGTCTGCTTCTAACCCTAAGATAGAAATCACAGTCTCTCGCATGGTGAATCCTAATCTGGTGCGATGCAAGCATAAACAAGCAATCCTTCGCCTCCTCTATGAGAATCGATCCAAGAACAGGACCGGCAAATACGCGGCAATTCTTGATCCTGTGAATGAACAAAGCCCTAAATCTCCCCTTCAGATAAACATCACAGGAATCAAGATCGGCAATGCTGAAATCCCCATCAAATTCAGACTCTCCAAAACGCTTCACGAGAATCTCACCCTTCTTGTTTCTGAAACCCGGCGAGTCCGGAAAACTAAACATCGATTTCCCCGCATCGGAAACTGAATAAAATCGCCCGATCTCTTTCGGTAAACCAGCAGATTCCTTCTTTGACGAAGCCTTGTTCTTAAAACTGAACTTCTTCCTCGGCGCGATGTCGGCATTCGCACTTTCCACCATTTCTTTGAGCTCCTCGATCGTTTTCAAGGAGAAGCGTACCTCGTAAGGGGGAAGGAAATAAGAGTGCTCTGAGACGAGTTTTTCTAGATCGGAGATGGATGATGATACCTTGTCGAGCTCCAGCTTGATCTGTGATATGGCGTCCGGATCAGAGGCGGCGACGGCGCGGCTGCGGTGGAGATCGGCCTCGACGGAGCGCTTGGCTTCGGAGAACCGGTGCAGGAATGATTGGACGGATTCGAATGACGGAGAGGATGAATCGGCGGCGGATCGGCGAGCGGCGGAGTGCTGTAGACGGGATTGATGGTTGTTGGATAGGCGCTCCACCATTGCTGCGTGCTTCTTCTGGGCGATCGGATCTAGGGTTTGTAAGGGGCGATCGCTCGGCATCTGGAGTTCGCCGTCCTCCATCTCTGGAAGCATTCGGGGCCGGAAGTAGGAGATCGGCGTAGACAATTTGAAAAATGGATGAGAGAGAGGGGTTTCTTTTGTAAATAGAAAGTTTAGTATGGTCTATATGTAATTATCTCATCTTATTTATTCTTTTTTTCTTTTTAGTAAATTTGACCACCCCTTCCAAGTGTAAGTGAATAAGTACATTATGACAAATGTTGCATTGGATAAATATTTCATTAATGAATAAAAAAACATATATAAAGCATAGCTTTAATATAGGGATCGCCCTCATAGAGATATCAGTCCCCAGAATTAAAATAAACTAGTTCTACAGATCCATAAATCCCAAAGATTTTCCTTATCAGAATGATTAGATCCATTCTAAAGTAATATTTCTATCTTTTGAGATATTATATCAATGATTAAATGTCGTATTTGAAGACTTTCGAGATTTATGGTGGATCGAATCAAATAAAACAGTCTCACCAAAAGCACAACCTTTAAGTCAAATATGTTTAGACCAGTCCACAATAGGAATATCTTTAAACATACAGTTGCAAATAAGCTTGTAAAGATAAATATTTTTATTTTCCCGAAGGGAAACATGTTGATTATTATAGGTTGGAGTATTGTGAATGAGTTATAAGCAAGGATGGCATTCCTCTATGTGCAACTATTATTTCATTGGATATGTAAAATGTAATTACAATAGTAGTGTATATGTCACAACCAAAGCAAGTGATAGATGCATGGTCATGAATGGAAAGTTTGGTTTTACAAATGACATTAAGGTAAGCTCATTCCTCAAATGAACAACAATTTGCATAAGAACTTTCTAAAAAGATGAATATATTTCCATTTGGACCAAAGAGATCTATAATGGAAATGAAACCAAATAATAATTAAAAAAAAAAGATGACTTTTTCTATTGTATGGCATAAATAAATAGATCTATAATCATTAAGCATTTGAGCTTAAGGCTTCTCAGATATTAAAGTATTAGTAGAGTGTCTAACCCAGTCAAAAAGTTTATAAGTAGCAAAGAACTGTTTTATGGCTTGGATACACAAAGGGCTTGTAATATCTGAAGTTTCCTTGAATAAATGAGCAGTAAACCCATCCGAGCCAAGGGCCTAATTGGAGTCAATGTTAAAGGAGGAAGAATTAATTTTCTCATCTATAAAGTTATTCATATGTGAATTGAAATCAAAAGTAGAGATGGTATGAGGCACATGTATCTAAGTGTAGTTAGAAGAACTATTGCAACTGTTGAGAAGGTTGGAAAAATAAAGCACTGCCTCATTAGCAATGTTAGCTTCGGAAAATACACACATGTTATCAAAGATGAGCTCTCTAATAGATTGTTTTCCCTAATTTTGATCTTTTGACATGAAATTTAATGTCGCATTTTCCTTTAGTAAATCAAACACATTTGGCTCTTTACTTGATCCAATCACTTTCATAAGAGGTAGCCTCAACAAATTGGTCTGATTCTAAAGTGCAATTTAAAAGGGGTTGATTTTTAAGATTAAGTATAATCTCATTTTGTGTAATTTTCAAATAAAAAATTGTATTACTCATCAATATAGATGATTTCCTAGTACCAGTTAAGAAAATCTTCTCACTTTTTAGTTCATTACAAAATAAAAAATAGGATCTCCCAAAGGGTATTGTTACCAAATAGAATTGTTAATATTATGAAAACAATCATATTTGCTCCAATAACTTTTACATAAGAACCTATAATTGGGAGAGAAATTATGACCCAAAGAGATGGGAATATGAAAGTGATCAGGTGTAAGTGGGTCTAGAACTTTAAAGGAAGAGAAAGAATATTTAGTCAGCCATTAAGCATTATAATGAGCTCTGTTTAGCAAACACCAAATAGAGTTATCAGTTTGGTGGTTAAAATAATAGTAAAAAGGGCAAATATTTTGAAGATCAATAAACATAGATTGAAAAATACAATCATTGAAATATAATAATTTAGCAAGGATGAGTGGTACACCTATAATTTTCTCCATAGGATTTCTTATACAATTAAAGTTTCCTTAATTAATCTAATGGTCATGACAAGTAGAAGCAATGTTGACAATTAAACTCTAGAAATCTCTCCTTTTAACATAAAAATTTTGAGCTTAAATAAATATGACTATGAATTTAGTATTTGATCAGTAAACAACT